GGGACTCGATCCTGGGACTCCAGGATCATGACCTGAGCCGAAGGCAGTCGCTTAACCAACTGAGCCACCCAGGCGCCCAAACAGTGAGAGTCTTAACATACATGCTTAAAAAACAATTTGCTAATTGGTTGCTTGATTAGCATTTGAGGTTTGTGGAGGCTATTTTTTGTTTGTCTTTAATAATAATTGAATTTATTTCTTGTTTTTGACAACTTAAAAAATCAGAGATAAAGAATAATACCTAAAAAGAATCATAGAACCAAAAAATATTTGACGGACCTTGCGAGTTACCTAGTTTAAACATTCTTGTTCTATTTTTTAATTGGTTTTCTGGCAAAAATATTTTCTGTATTCTTTTTTTGAATGACTTCATTGAGCTCTAATCAATATACAAGCAACTGCACATATTTAATGGGTACAATTTGGTGAGTTTGGGTGGGAGGATGCTCTACTTAATTTTTTCCTTTACAATGGTTCCACTCCCATTTTTTGTGACTTTCACTCAAATTTGTACTTAAACTTTTATTTGCACTGTAATTAAAAGAGTAAACCTTATTTCCCTAGATGGAAAAATATATGATGCTTTTGTGTCTTACCTAAAAGAATGTGGACCCGAGAATGGAGAGGAACACACCTTTGCTGTGGAGATTTTGCCTGGGGTGTTGGAGAAACACTTTGGGTATAAATTATGCATATTTGAAAGGGATGTCGTGCCTGGAGGAGGTAAGAAATTTCTATCTGGAATACCAGATAGAAAACTAGTAGAAAGATTTTCTTTTTAAAAGCTGAATAGTGTAGCCTTGCAAAAGGCAATCCTGTTTTGCTTAAAAACAAACAAATGAACATGATCCTCCAAACCAGAAATAACCAGCTAAATCAATATAATCAATAGTGAGAAAACAAGCCAACTACACTGCTTCTGAGAGTGGCCTCCTTGGGGCCCAGACTCTTCATTGCCCTTCCTAGTTCTCTGAACCTTTGGGGAGAGGGCGTTCCACTTTCAGAACCAGACCCAGAATCCGCATTGTCCTGAGACATTTATTTAGAAATGCCCCGCAGTAAGAACACCCTTCTTGGTAATATTTTGTGCAGCAGGATTGGTTCCTAATTTAATACGTGATCCTCTGGACTATAAACACAGTGCACTCTTACCGGAAAATACTTGTTCTTTATTGGGTTGACACTGGTGTGAAAATTACAGTAGAGGATAGGAGAGTTGGAAAAGGATAAATAAAGGGAGATTGGTGATTTGTGTCGGATTTTAGTGATGCAATTTAGTTTTTTATTAGTATCTGAATACAAATGACCGTAAAACATATATTGAAGCAAATTCCAGTTCAAAGCCAAGAAATTTAGTAACACGCCCATATTTTCTCTGAAATTTTCCAGCACAAGTATTTGAAATCTGGTGTCAGAATAATCTGGGTGCTGATGCATTACCAAGGATGCAATATAAGTGTTTCTATTGCCACCATCATTCCCTCAGCCAACATATACTGAGTGCCATCCTCGGGCCGAATTCTGAGCTGGGCACTGAAGACATAGCAGTAAATAAGGAATAGCTGTGTTTTTTCCCCCTCCTAGATTATAAATGAGAAAGGGAAAATACGACCAGCTAGAAGGAGAAAATAATACTACTTTTTCATAAACAAATAATAATTAATAAAATAGATTTCTTCTTAGTTCTCAAATGAAAAGAAAGACTGTTTGTATATTTAATTGTAAATAGTTGGGATCAAAACCTCTATTGGAGAAGGGGTAGAGGTCTAGACCAGAAATTGCCAACCCATGGGTCAATTCCAGGCTATCAGCCTTGTTGAAACACAGCGATGCGCTGTTTAGTTTGTGTATTGTCTGCATTTGCCTTTGAGCTAAATAGCAGAGATGGGTAACACAACGCCGGAAATCGTCACTCTCTGGCCCTTTACAGAAAGTTTGTCAACTTCTGGTCTGGAATCATGGTGGGATATATACATTTTTATCTTTAAATTCGGATTTCAGCGTGCTCCTCCCTGCCTACGGAGAGGCAAGATAGCATCACGGGACTCTGGAAGCAGACCGCTTAGGTCCTGGTTCTGATGCTGCCATTTACTGGCTGTGTGACTCTGGGCGAGTTACTTAACCACTCTGTACTTCGGCTTCCTCATCTGTAAAATGTTGGTGATAACGATACTTTCTTCATAGGGTCACTGTGATGCTTTAATGAGTTGATATACATAAAACATCCAGAAGAAGGTTTGGCACAGAGTAAGGGCCAAGTGTTCATTATTGCTGTCACTTAGATGATTGTTTTTAACAGGTGTATAAAGTTGAGAAAAAGTGGTTTGTCTTGAGAAAAATTATTAGTGAAGTAGAGTTAAGTAATACAAAAGTAGACCTTCATCTCCTGTCTTCCCTCTTTAATTTTTAATTAGTTCTCTTTAATTATTATGCCACATCTTGCATTTTTAGCTGTTGTTGATGAAATCCACTCATTGATAGAAAAAAGTCGAAGACTGATCATCGTCCTAAGTAAAAGCTACATGTCTAATGAAGTCAGGTACGAACTTGAAAGTGGACTCCATGAAGCGCTGGTAGAAAGGAAAATTAAAATCATCTTAATTGAATTTACACCTGTCAGTGACTTCACATTCTTCCCCCAATCACTACAGCTTTTGAAATCTCACAGAGTTCTGAAATGGAATGCTGATAAACCTCCGTCATATAACTCAAGGTTCTGGAAAAATCTTCTTTATCTGATGCCTGCAAAAATGGTCAAGCCATGCGGAGCTGAATCTGAAGTCTTACCTGTTCTTTCACAGTCCTGACCTTTAGGAAAGCTGAACATAAGAAAGAACTCTTGGCACTATGGGCCTGGAGTGGATGAGCCTGTTTTTAACAAAGGGCACTATTAAAAATATTTACCTCTCTGAAAATCCTACTTACAGCTTGAAGATGACAGTCGTCATTATGTTGCCAGGGATAAGACTGAACACTGAGCCGTGGTCATGTGCTCCCAGAGGAACCTGGGATTCCAAAGAACTGCATCTCCTGTTTCTCCCTCCTCAATAACTGGCTATAGGTGCTCATTCTCAATCCATGTTCAGCAACTGTGAGGCTGATATGCCTTATAAAAAGGGCACATCTTTACATTTTTTTTAAAGATTTTATTTATTTTATTTGAGACAGAGAGAATGAGAGACAGAGAGCATGAGAGGGAGGAGGGTCAGAGGGAGAAGCAGACTCCCCGCCAAGCAGGGAGCCCGATGCGGGACTCGATCCCGGGACTCCAGGATCATGACCTGAGCCGAAGGCAGTCGCTTAACCAACTGAGCCACCCAGGCGCCCCATCTTTACATTTTTAATGCTAATGATTGAATTAAAGGATTGTAAGTTCATGAAGTGGCATTTTCTATGATCCAGTAGGTGACATAATAGCAGGAACGGTGTCTTCACTCTCCCACAGTGCAGCCTACCTCTAAGCACCATGGATAGTGCCTGGGATGTGGTGGAGAGCTGGTGGGGCTGTGTGCATCGGGGACTGAGGTGTGACAGGACCTCAGCCTCAGGACACGTTTAATGTGTCCGGCCACAGCTGCAGACCCACAGTTATCAGGACCCCCCTAAAGCACTGCACAGGGCTTGCTTAATTGGGCCTATTTGGAGGGAACTTCCCCAAACTGTTTTATCTTTCATGAGAGGCACACATTTGAATTAAGATAATTCTCTGGGTTTTTCAGAAATGGTCTAAAACATTTGTTGATTTAACAGGAATGTTTATAGATAGGACAGGTGCCAGATCATATCATCCATATTAGCCATTAGTCACTATTATCCATTAGCCACAGCAAAATATGATCGTTACTGGCTTGATTTGTAAAAAAAAAAATGACATATTTAAAATGCCTTCAAGGTGGAGGCAGCATGGCATGGTGTTTGAGCATGAGCCATACAGTCAAGACACTTGAGTTTGAATCCTGGGCTTGCTACTTACTTCGGTGACCCCTGGAGCCTTTTGAACCAATCTGCGCCTCCATTTCCTCATCTATAAATTTAGAATTTATAGTAATTGTACCCACTTCACAGGGGAACTAAATGAATAAATATAAATAAAGTACTTAGAACAGTTCTTGGCACAGACTTAATAGTATATGTGTGACTATTACTACTTTACTATTAATTGTTACTATTAATTGTTAGATGAGTTATTTAGCAGTGAACTAAAATGGAAGGCAGAGAGCAGGAAAAGGAGAGAGACCTGGAAGGAAGGCAGTTTTGACTTGAGGACATTTGTATATAGGGAAAAGCATATGGGAGAAGCATATCAATAGCACAAAAGGTATTTCTCCATTAGACATGTGAAACTTTTGGCATTGGAAGACATGTGTCTCTCACTCTAAGGTGAGTTCAGCACTGTAGGCTTTCTTGCTGGCCTCGGCAGTCATGGCTGTCCATGGAAATCACTGAGTGACTGACAAATATCCGCCTTACACAGAAAGAAAGAGTTGGGTTAAATCTGGAAGCCTGGTTAGAATATATGGGGTGCAAGGTGAATGTTCCAGAAAGGTTTAAAGCAGAAACTGTTAAAAACAGCTGTAGTAGATATTGCTGAAAATTAAAAAATTGAGATTTTATTAGATCTTTGGTCTGAGAAAGTGATTTACTTTTGTAGAGCTTAAAATTTTGTGTGCTAGTTGGGTGGCTTAAAAAGTAAAAGAATTTATTACTAAATTAATGTTTTATGCGTGAAAATATATGGTCTAGAGAAATTGTATTGCTATCATCAGAGTCTCTAATACATAGACGGATTTTGCTTTTCTCTCTTATTGTGTGTGCTATAAAATACATTAAGTGTATTTTGCATTAAGTATGTTAAATACATATATTAAATGTATGCCTTACAAGATATGAATAAACCATTGGTCTAGTGCTCTTAATTTGAAATGCCTCTTGATGCCTTTTTCACTTACATGAAGATTCTACTTTCTCATTCTCAACATAGATTCCTACCTGTTTCAATAAGATACGGGTCATTCAAAATGGACTTCTGCATCTATCTTCTTCTGCTTTTTTTAATGTCACATTACTTTGTACCTATCTTCTTTGTTGTACCTTCCATCCAGCAGCAAAAGGAGAATTCCCTTCTACAAAGCCACAAAGCCACTCAGTACACAGCCCAAGTATTAGCTCTTCACATGCCAGTTAATTCATGGGCATATTTTTAAGTTTGAGTGCAAACAGTTCCAACTAGGACCAGTAAATAATTACTATTGATAGAATAACGGCATTCTCTTCTGTGGATTCAGGTGTCCTTAAACTGTGGGGGCCATTTCAGAGAATCCGTGAACAGCCAGCTCTCTAAGATGTATAAATACTCCATGTATGTCTATTATGTACTGGAAACATTTATTAAAATAAAGTTATATTCTCTTAGAGCAAAGAGAGAGCTTATTAGCCACATAGCCCAAACCCAGGAGCCTGAAATGTGCTAAGTCCAGGGGCTTGGCCCAGGTCACACAACTAGCTGGCATGATAGCTGGGGGCAGAGAGGTGTGTCATCTCTTCTCTTTGGAGTTGCCTGTTGGACGGCAAGTCTTGAGATTAGTTTCTGGAGGGTGCAGGCACTTTCCTGGGTCAGGCACCTTATACTAGGGGGGTCTAGGGCAGAGCCTGCAAAGAGGAAGCATGGCTATTTAGGACTAGCTCAGAGGAGGACAAAAGAGTTTGAAGGATCTTCAGCCTTTCTTCTTGGCTACTAGGGTAAGGATAGAGGGGGGTGGAAATAGCACTCAAATCCTGCACAGGATGAAAATATCCGCTGTGGCATCTGCCAAGATACAGGGAGTTAGACCTCTGACGGGTACTACGAGCTCCCACTATGTTGATGCTGATGGTTGACCAGGATGGTCAGCGAGGGGTAGGGAGGCCAGGACAGTCAGCGAGGTGCAGAGAGGAGTAGCTTCCCTGCAGCTATCAACATACTTGTCTAAAGCAGGGACAATGGCAAAACCAGTGCCCAAGGCCAAGTCGAATCATAGCTTTAAATTCAAGGAGGAAATAACTGAAGTGCAGCTCTGAGGGAGGAGACCCAGCATCTGAGGGAAGCCATCTTTCTGAGCAGAAGCTACTCTGAGAGGTGGGCTCAGGAGTAATGGAGGGCTCTTCAAAGAGTGAGCAAGCCATAGATCTAACAGGAAACGGTGTGTGTGTGTGTGTGTGCTGTGGGCAGGGCACACGGTCCTTTCTGCATGCTCCACTGGTAATGACCACAGTCCAGGCTGGGGGCTCCGAGACCAATGTCTATATTTCTGTGTGAGGCTTGTGACGACCAGATTTTATCTCTTTACAGCCTATCTTGTGGTTGCTTATACACACTCAGGGAATGTGATTTATGTTATACCCATTTATACATCAAGATATACAACTTGATGTGCATGCTTAATAATTAATGGTGAACATGCTAAGAATAGACTTCTAGATTGTGTTTTGGGAGTCCTAGGGCTTTTTTTGTTTTTTGTTTTTATTTTATTATGTTATGTTAATCACCATACATTACATCATTAGTTTTTGATGTAGTGTTTCCTCATGGTGCCTTAGGGACCATCCTGGGCAGTGGGGTGGAGTGCAGGGGAACATGGGAACTGGGTCTAGTCTTCTCCCCACTGCCCATTCCTTCCAGATACCTCAACTAGAACAACACTGCTTTTACCCATTTTTATGTTGAGGTTCCACATACTCATTTTATTTATTTTTTAAAAGATTTTATTTATTTATTTGACAGAAAGAGACAGTGAGAGAGGGAACACAAGCAGGGGGAGTGGGAGAGGGTTAGTGCCGAGCAGGGAGCCCGATGCAGGACTCGATCCCTGGACCCTGGCATCATCATGACCTGAGCTGAAGGCAGACGCTTAACGACTGAGCCACCCAAGCACCCCAACATAGTCATTTTATTTAACAAAATAAAATACCTCCAAATAGATCATGGTTTAGATGTAATGAACATAATCCTCTGTAGCTAGTTTAAAGAGAAACAGTTCTAGAATTGTCAGAGAGGGAAAGAAACAGACCCTAGACTAATCTTCCAAGAATATCTTCTGAAGTCACACAAAAAACTGGGCTGTCAAAGGTGCTGATCCTCCACAGACAGGAAGAAATCTGCTGAATCAGGAAGCTCCTGATGTAGCTGCCAGATCCTGAACTAGTCTGGAGTCAAAGTTGAGGGAAAGCCCCATACTGTGGAATTGTCCAGGGCTGAAAAAGCCAATTGCTTCTGGGTACCTGGGCCCACCAGGACCAACAGAATTCTTAATTTGCTTTATCCCACAAGAAACCTAGTAGCCTCAGAATAATTTGTAATACTAACACAGACATCTATATTTTGCTTATTAAAAAAAATTCAAGATTTTTTTTGGGGGGGGTACTATTTTAGACCTTGAGAATATCCCATTAGAATATAATAAAGTCAAGCTCTCGTGTTCTGGAGTCATTTGAAATTATTCTTCTTGATGTAGTTTTGTCAACTCAATAAATAGTTCAATTTCTTTGATTTTGATTTTTAGGGATTGCTCCTTAAAATTTTGCTTTGTTTTATAATAATGCAAGATAGTTAACAGCCTTCTAGTGCAAATTTATAAAATAAGGTATATGCAGAAAAATCCAGCTTCTATTCCTCTCCCTGCTACTTGTTTCCTCCTTCCCATATAAGCAAACCTTTCTAGAAATGATGTCACTATATCCTTCTATTTTTAATATAAATGAAGATACATACATATTTAAATCCCCTCACTTCTTACAGAAAAATGGTAGCATATTATATACAATTTTCCACCTTGTTTTCCCATTTCATAGCATATTCCAGAAATCATTGCCTAATCGCATTTGGTGCTATTTCTCATTCTTTCTTAGAGATACATGACACACCATTTGTGTGGCTGTACCACAGTTTATTCAACCAGTCTCAAATATTTCCCGTCTTTTGCAATCTTAGATTATGTTGTAAAGAATAGTCTTATGCATACATCTTCTCATATTTTTGCTAGAATATTTTGGGGATGGATTGCTAGAAGTAGGATCTCTGCATCAGAGGATAATGCATATGGACTTTGGCTTAATATTGCCTTTTCATATGGATTGTCCTTTTGAACTTCCATTAGCAATGTAAAGAGTACTTACCTTAGTTTTTGCCAATTTTTCTGCAAAGATAATGATCTT